AGTCTTTGAGACACACTCTTCTAGAGATTTTAATAGTAAACACACCATGTTCTTTTCTATAAAGTAAGTCATGTGGATAACACTAGGCCAAATGCGATTAAGCAAAATAAGTTATATATGTTACTAACATGATATAGTTTCAGGACAGTTTTCTGGTAAGCTATCTTTAAATAGCACACTTAGACTCTCAGTGTTGCAAAATACAAGTCCAAAGCTTCACCCACCTATGTACCTTGTTTGGGCAGTTTAGTATTTTATTTGAATAATGCCTTTCAGAGATATATGTGATATTAATACACACATACATATGCATACATACACATATACACACATATCATATCTATATATACATATTAATAGATAAATAGAAAATAGATATGGATATATGACACGGACTTATTTCCTTTTTCTAAGCAAGTTCCTAAAGACACTTGGTCTTGTAACCCCAACTATACCAGATTCTTTTGGGGCTTCATTGAAGACATCAAGGGCTTCCTCTCAGTTAAACGGAAATTCCAGAGGTCGACTCCTCTTCTGAAGCATTTCTTTTATTAAGCTGTTTGAAAATCTCATTAATTAAAAAGGTTCTTCTACTACAAAAATATTTTGAAAATTATAGATGTAGTTGAAGTAAATTGATAACATACTCTTAATATGGGACCCGATTACTAATATATGTATATATATATACATATATTAGTATATGGAAGATTTTTGGAATCTATTAAAAGACAGCAAGGTCAAGAATAAACTCTTGAAAAGGACCTTTAGCACCATCTCTTTTACTGTGGGAGTTAAGTGTAGTGCTGTATTCGATAGGCTGTTGGGTTGAGAGCAGGTTGACATCCTCTCATAAAAATTAAGACTTCTGAAAATGGCATGTACCTAACTAGAGGAACTTCTTACCTCTGTTACAAGGAGAACAAGGTAATACCCATGGGTAAAACTAACATTATCATCAGATAAGCAATTTTGAGTGTGCTCTTATACAACAACAACTAAGCAAGCAAGCCACACAATTCCAAGCCATGAAACTTGCTTGCAACTTAAATCATAGAAAAATGTCCCATGAAAAATGTATTCATGGAACAAGATGAGATTAAAGATTGTAACTTTTACATGCTAAAAGTTCTAAGTAAAATGAAAGTTTTGCTGGATATGATAATTTCCATTTTAGAATATTTTATTTACAGTTCTTCTTTCTGCCAGGAAATCGATATAGAGATATTTTCTATTAAGACTCAATAGATGGGGCGGGGGATGCAGCTCAGTGTCAGAGTGCTTGTCTAGCATGTGGAAGGCACTGGGTTCAATCCTTAGCACCATATAAAAATAAAATAAAGGCATTCTGTCCATCAACAATTACAAAAAAAATTAAAGACTAGATCCTACTAACAATACTAATTTATAACATAATTCTCATCCTTCAATTGTCTGTAGTAGAGGCATGAATATTCACCTGGAGATGTAATGTACTTATGGATTATGTTGAAATGAGGGAAGGGAGTGACTGAAACCCACTCCTTTGTCTGTGATTCCCTTAGTAGTGTTACAATGTAAAGCTTTGTACCAGTTAATAACAATCTGTGTGATATAATCCTTAATAGTTTCTGTTCACAAATTTAAAGGCAGAGAAGATACCAGTGAAAAACATAGTCTTAGATTACTGTGGAATATCTGGTGACAAAGTGGCACAGAATGTAGCAGTGGTTAGTCCTGGAACAGCAGAGGATAAACAGAACCTCCAGTCCCTATAGGATATTGGTCTGAAACATCCATAGTTGCACCAAGCAAGAAATTAGCATATATTTAATCTGGATAAAATAAAGAGCTACTTTTAAAAAATAAAATAGTCTACATTCAGCCAAATAGTAAAATGTAAAATAGTGATTGACTTTGGACAATCATGAAAGACAGAATTCCTGATACCTCTCCCCAGTACATGATATGCTGTTTAGCCCAACCTGATAATTTCAATTTAGCTCTAAAGCCTGGTCAGACAGTAGCCAAGAATCTCTCAATTGGTATTAGTATGGTGTATGAAAGAAATGAAATCACTCCTCTGACTTTGTATCTGAGCCTCAACAGCTCGTCATCTTTATATCTGGGTGACAAGCTTCCTTATTTACCTTTATTCCTGGATGTATCCATCAAGGTTTCTCTTTTCCCCACAGAATTATTTGTAACTAAATTATAAAGTGAATAGAACATTTTCACATTAATTTGACCCTGAGTGTCCACGTCCCATTTTATTTTTCCCATCAGCTCACTAATCTGGTTAGAAGTTTTTCGGTTGCCTAATCTTGGTCTAGATCAGATACTAAACCAGAAATTCCTAATTTTCTGGGACACTGAACACATAAAGTGAGTTTAGTTTATTGACCCTCATGGTAGTGAAAGGAGAAAGTTCTCCCTCAAGTTCCTAAAGAATGTTCAGTGGTCCTAGAGTAGCAGTAAATTTCAAATGTAACCCGAGAGCACCTTGCTGCTCTTAGTCTTTTCTGTGCCTCAGTCCAGTCTTGCTCAATTCAGACCTGAATGCAGAGAGACCCTGAGGCTGAAAAGAAATGTGCAAGTTAAAATTGTGCTCAACACCACCTAATCCTGTTCATATACTTTTATATCAAATACTATATATTTTGTTTTTCAAAATAATAGAAAATCACACTCACCGAGTGTCTAGCATACAGTATTACATACAGCATAGTTATATGATGCATAATTATGCATTGATTGATGGAATTATTTGAAAGCCACAAATGATCTGATTATCCACATTCTAGTGTCTGTCATCTTCTCTTACACTTTACCACTGTTTTAATCTTTTTAACTTTTCATTAAGCCTTCCAGGAAAACACTAGAAAGAAAATGAAATAAAGGACAAATCCCTATCCTTAATCTTTACTAGAATCCAAAACATTTGAAGATCGAAAAACAAAACTTAAAAATAATCAGTAATCTTCATTTTAGATATTTATATAAGAAATAATAATAAAAAAATAGGGGTATTACAGTTTCATACATGTATTTTGTTGTCATGTGTACTTTTATTCATGGTTTTTTGTGTACGTGTTCTTGTTTTCATGTTTTTTCTTGATTGACTCTTTGTAGGAAACTATTTGACATTTGTAGATGTGATGTCTATATTCTAGCCATGATATTCCAATAACAAAAATGACGTTGATTTATGTTATGGAGTTCAACTCCTTCATCAAACCTATAAGGAAAACAAAAACATAAGAAAATGATTTGTTCAAGATCGCTGAATTGATTAAAATTGAATAAAACTATTGACAGAGTCCACCCTATCAATAGTTCTGTGCTCTTTAGGTTTTAGAGATTTTATTTTTTATTTAATTATGCTTTTATTTTTATGCATAGATGTAGTGCTTTTGCACTTTTTTAAGAATGCTTTTTTTCCCCACGTAGCTAATAGAGAATAAGCTTAATTTTGCCTTCATCAGGAACTTGAAAGACAGACATACCTGTATATTCTGGTAACATCTATCATTGCAAACAAATATAATTTGTTTCAAAATTCTTATGCCAGTCAACAGTACATGGTTCACTGCATTGTTTAGATATCTTTCTTTTATATGAAATAGTAATGATAACAATAATAATAAAACTTTCTTATAGCTGGGGATATGGCTTAGTGGTAGAATGCTTGCCTAGCATTCACAAGGCCCTGGGTTCAATCTCCAGCACTGGAAAAAAAAAATTCATGTCTTAAACTAACTTAGGGATATGAATAAGAAATGAACTAAATCAGGAAAATAATAAATCCAATACTGCTTTCAAGTACTGCTGCATCAAGGAATCCAGAGTCTCTGAGTCTAAAGCCCCTACCCTATAGGATTAGTAAACCCAGCTGAGTATGAAAAGCTCCTTCTGGGTTGATGTTCTGATCCCTGCACTTATCACTGTATTAGGACAATGGGTTACTCAGATTAACCAGGTCTAGGATGCATGCATATCCCACTAAGACAATATGGTACCCCACAATGAAGAGTGGTTCCATTGTCTAAAGTAAATAAATAAATAAATAATAAGGATCTATGCTGAATAAGGAAATGTACACACACATACATACACAGATATATCCATATGGCCCCCTTTTCCAGTTTCTTTTTCAATATAGCTTTTGAGCTCTCAGTCAAAATTATCTGGATTTTTAATTAGAGTCAATTCAACTCTGCTGGACAGCATCTATGCTACACAGGAAAATTATTCAAATATGAATTTCTGATTCTCACCAACATCAGTGGCTTTTTAGAAACATTCATTTACATAGGCTCTGATTTACTACACCAGAGATAAAGGCTTTCTCATATTCTTTTAATTGTCAAAACACATGTAATTATGCAATATTAGGAGATCACCCAACAGTAACTCATCCTGACCCTACCAAATTATAGGGGAAAAATCCACAATGACTGTCTTTCTTCGGTGTGAATTGTAGTTTCATTTTAATGTCATGAACAAAATTAATATATTAATTATATTTAATTAGACACATACAATTAAATATAATTAATATAAGTAAATAATAATAGTCCCATGAATAAAGAAACATATACTTACTGCAGTGACTTTCCAATAATCAACCACAACAAAAAAAATTACAACTGAAAACTTCTGACATATTTATACAACCATGTGGAAAATAGTAATACTGGTTTGAAGGAAAATGTAGAGATATGAATATGCATGGTTTTAAATTGTATTAGCTCTTCAATGTGGAAGATTTCTTAGAAATATTATAAATAATTCTTTTCTCTCTCTTCAAAGGGAATAAATAAGTTTTTAATTTGTGTCTCCAATGAATGCCAGTGTTGTGCCACTAAAATATCACTAACATCTTACCTTGCAATAAAAGATCCTGGTAGTTTACTGAGAAATTAAAAGTTAAGTTGTTTCAGGTCATTTTACCTACAACCCAAGTAATGATATAATTGTTTCTGCCTGATATAAATGCCTTTGTGATGCTCGTTCTCCAGCCACTACAGAATCCTGTTGGTTCAAAAATGAATGCATTTGAAAAACGACTTGAAAATGTCACTACCACTTTGAACAACCTTCAAAACCGCTTACAGGAGGTCAGTACTCTGTCTGGGTTGGTGCACAAGTGAGGATGATTAATTTTTTAAAAGGATAATAATTTAATTTTAAAAGATACACAGTTACTCACCTTGTGTGCAATAGCCTATTTGTTCATTTTGGAGGTGGTTGGCAGGAAGCTACACAATGATTTCTGAAGCTGCAAACGGAGGTATAGAGCATATCATAATATATTTATTAAGGACTAATGCAAACCACATTGAGTTATAGGAAGGAAAATGTATTCCCCGGTGCTTAGAATTTACTGAACACGAAGAATTCGAATGAGATTGTTTAGGGAGAAGGAGGAAGAATTTCCATGCCTACCTCCCCAAACAAATAAATCACTGCTTATATCCTGGGAATGTTTTCAAATAGACGATGTTTAATGAGATGAGTAGTATTTATAACTGAGTTTATATTCACATGTCTTTCCTGTTTTATTTTTCAAATGTATTCTTCTGACTAAGACTTGAATACCAAATATGTGCTCAAGATATAAAACTAGGGTACCAAGGTCACTTGTTCTTGAATTGTACTTTTGTGTCTTAAGACAGCAGCAGTTGATTCACTGAATGGCTAGCTTGTAGTAGTCTACAAACAGCAGAGAATAATCTGGTAGCACAGCATAGAAGTCTTTTTGAAATCATCCCTTTAATCATTTTAGAAAAAAAAAATGTTGACATACTAAACAGAAAAAGGAAGATATCCCTCCCCGCCCCCAGATTTCCCATCTGTTCAGGTCATTTTATTGAAAACTTAACTTTTGTTATTCCTGAGTAAGTGTCTTGTTGCCGGCTGATAAAATTTTTAAGAGACTTACAAGATTTTTTTGGGAAAAAACTACTACATTGAAAAATTAAAATTAGTTTTTCAGAAGTCTCTGCATGATATGTCTAACATATAACATATTTAGGGGAGATTTGAACATAATTATACTGAAATGAGCAAAGGAGCAAAATGTAAAAAAAAAAAAAAAAAAAAAAAAAAAAAAAAAAAAAAAAAAACCAACAACAACAAAAAAAACACCTAGAACTGATGTCAGAAGATCTGAGTGCCAATTAGATTCATCAGGCAACAAAAACATAGAAAACATTACAGCCATTCATTTGATGAATAAATTGAAGTCCAGTGGTAGTCAAAGCCTATGAAAGTATAACACCTGAGCAAGAAGAATAGTCCCCTTAAACAAGAAACATTTCATTCTGTTAAACACAAAACTTTTATGACAAAGAAAGTATACCATCAGAGTGAAGAAAGTATTATTTAATAGACTGCTGCAATATTTATTGCAAATTTGGGAGCAAATTACTTCAGGCAAATATTTCACATCAAAGGTGAAGATTAATATATATAATTCAAAAATAAAATATTAAAAATGAAACAACACACAACCAAAATGAGAGTCAATATCTATCAACAGTCTGGAAGGGACAGAGGTGACTTTGTAAATCTGACAAGAAGTTAAGGAAAAGATGAGAGAAAAAAATTGAACTATTATGCAAGAACATTAAAAAGCAAATGATATAGTGGTAAATATATTTGCAAAAACATCAAAGTTTATGAAAATCCTGAAGAAAATTGAAATATGTACAGACAAGAAAATATAGACAAGTATCTGTTTCATTAAAAAAATGAAAATTCAAATAAAAACTAGATGCAAATTTCACTTAGCAAACCAGCACAAGAAGAAAAAACAAGTTTAATACCTAATAATGATGCATGGTAGGAAAATAAGTACTAGCAAGATTGAAAAATATTGACATCTCCTTGGAAGGCCATTAGACAATATTTATCAATATCCATAAAATATTATTATCGCTTGATTTATTAAATCTCAGTCCTTATAGCTAGATCTTAATAAAATAATAAAAATATTGCATAAATTGCAAACACAAACATGTTTCTGGAAAACTCTTTCACTATAGTACACAATAGGAAAGAAATACACAACAAAATGTATAGAATCTACTTGGCACATAGTATGCACTGAAGAAATATTTTCTAATAAATTAAGAAAAGTCACTGGCCCTAAAATTTTGACTATATATTTCAAACATTTGATTGCTCATATACAATATGATTAATGCAGTGAGGCTTATCTAGTATAAAGAAAACATTTACTTGGAGAAACTATGATAGTTTGCATTATCATACACTCTTCCTATTACTTCTCTGTTAGTTCACAGGGCTAAGTCAATATGGCAAAGTGAAGCTAAACATTTAATTTAATCATCATAGATACATTAATGTAGGTAAATGACACTATGAAAATTGAGTTTAAATTTAAATACCTAAAGTAATTAAATTAACTAGATAATTAGCAAAATTCCAATTCCATTTGTAATGTGTGGACATAGCCCTTAGAGACAGATTTTTTTCTCTTCCTTGGTAGAATTTTGTTCCAAAAAGTAAATAGCACACACAATCATAGAAAAATAAAATGGTTTGGAATTTATTCAATATTTGAAAATAATAATAATATTTTATTTTCTAAAAATAATTTTGAGGCTTAATAATAATAAATAATTTACCCCAATTTCTGTTAGCATGGATGCGTAAGAAGAGAGGGGCTCTGATCATCTCAGCACAGTATCTCTGACCCTGAAATATGCTGATTCAAGGTCTGAGTGGATTTCTTAAGAATCTAAGATAGTTTTGTTTCTTATAGCATTGGTAAAAATCAAAGATTTTCCTTTTTTGCCATTTTGCTTAAAACATTTTAAATAGGAAACTAGGTCAACAAAATTTGCTGCCACTCATTATTAAGAACATTTTTACTTGGTAATTCCAAGAGTGTGCATGATGGATTATAGAAAACTGAAAATATATACACAGGTTCTTTCTTGCCTCCCATTTAACTTCTCTCAGAAGTCCACATTACTGGAATTTACCAAATCAAAACAACTGTCAGCAGGGCATTGTGGTGCACACCTGTAATCCCAACTACTCTGAAGGCTGAGGTAGAAGAATGGCAAATTCAAGTCCAGCCTTAGCAATTTAGCAAGACCCTAACCAACTTAGCAAGAACTTGTCTTCAAGTAAAAGATAAATAGATAAATAAAAAGAGTTAAAAAGGTCTGGGAAGGTAGGTCATTGGTAGAAGACCACTGGGTTCGATCCCCAGTAGCACCACCCAGCCCCCCGCCCCCCCCAAAAAACCCCACAAAAACAACAATAAAAAAAGAACACAAGACAAAGACAAAACCACTAAGTGTAAGTGTAACCCTTCTCTCCAGAATTGAAGCACAGCCACAAAAGCTAAAATAATTTCAGATATATCTATTGTATAATCTGGTGAACAAATTATTTTAAAATTTATTCAGTAAATGAAATTTTTCTGATGCAGTGTGAAAATCTTTAGTAAATGTTGGTTCTTTTCTGATTTTTCCATTATTCATAACAAGTTTTAAGGCATTTTAGTTGAATAAAAGAAGTTTATTAAATTTCTCCATTTGGTTCCAATTTCAATTTGTCTGCATCGCTCAAGCTTATATAAATTGTGCAAGGAAGTCTTGAAATGTTGAAAAAAGTAAATAAGTAAATCTACCTTTCACCACTAGATGTCACCAAAGGTTTATTCATCCTAACAGTCATGCAGCTTTCAGCCATTTGACATAGAGCTCTTAGAAAAATTATGTTCTATCTTCAACATAATCAGAAAATGATAGCTTTAGTAAAGTATTCTTCATAACGTAGAATTCCTCCATGTTTCAATAATGTTTTATATGTAATAATATCTTAAAAGTATATAAAAATATTCAAATATGCGTTCAGAGAGAAATCTTTTTATATCTTTTCAAAATTCCTTAATAGCCTAGCTAACAAGCATGCAATTTTCATTAGCCTCTTTCACCCATGTAATACTTTATCCATGTGAGGAATTATAACACTATTTTCAGTTGAAACTGTTAACATCATTATGAATATTATTATGATCACCAAGATGAAGAACTTGATCATTAATTTTACATGTTTAATTGACTTAAAATAATTTGAATATATAATTTACATTCATTGTATTTGTATACACAAAAATAATGGAATATTTGTTAATTTACTTCTTAAGGCTTTAAGATAGAATTCCTTTAAAAATAAACTTTTATGCTACATGTATACTTTTATTTGAAAACTCCATCTAATCATCTTCTCGTTGGTTAGGTGAGTGGTCAGGTTCACCTAAATTAGCATATTTTCAAAACTTTGGTATCAGGAAGGGAAATTTAATGATAAAATAATTTAAATAATGGATATATTATCTTAAATATAGACTTTATTCTTCATAATTTGCTATCAAATAACATTTGGGGTATTAAATATTTCCCTGAGTCTGGTTTCTTCAAGGTACAGTTTGATATAATTGGAACCATTTTGATGAAACATATTTGTTCTTCTTTTAAACATTCCCTCTTTATACTTTGCTCTCCAGGACTTGAACAATATTTATTTGCAACTTTCCCAATTTAAAGATAATATCTATGCTTTGGAGAATACTCTGACTATGGCCAGGATGGAGCATTTGAATTCATATACTGAATCAACAACTCAACCTTTCCAAGAAAATGAAAAGGAAGTGTATTCTTCAGGACTGCCGTATATAACACCTAGTCAGAATTATGGTATCTCGGGTATGTTGATCATTTGTTATACTGATGATTTGCTTTAGTATGGTTAATTATATAAGGGTAGCATAGTGCATGTTTAGTTTACTAATTTCAGGCATATTTCCTGTCACACAGATTCTCTGTATTATTTATTAAAGAAATTAATAAATGCATGAATGATATGTGACCATAATCAAGACAAAAGAGACTTTGGATTTTCCTGTATTAATCCCTACTGCTGTAAATATTTTAGATGACATAATAACAATGTAAATAAATGCCCAACTAACAGTAGTAATATATTGGTAAGTTTTAATATAAGCAATATTTTCTTTCTGCTATTTACACTTGAAAGTAGGCAAAGTTTTTTTTTTTGTTGTTGTTGTTGTTTTTGATTTCTTAAATATCTTTTTTTTTTTTTAATGGTACCAGGGATTGAATTCAGGGGCACTTAATCACTGAGCCAGCCATATCCCCAACCCTTCCTTATATTTTACTTAGAGACAGAGTCTTGCTGAATCTCTTAGGGCCTCCCTAAATTGCTGAGGCTGGCTTTGAACTCACAATCCTCCTGATCGAGCCTCCCAAACCACTGGGACTACAGGCATGTGCCATTGCATCTGGCTAGACAGAGGTTACTAACAATGGACAAGAGGAGGCAATTGTCCAACTTGTTACAGTATCCTGAGGTAAATTAATTGACAAACAAACTTACTATATATAACCAACTCTTTCTGAAACCTTATTATAATATTCATTATTCCTTATAGTCCAATATTTCATAATACTCAAGTCCATGTGGACCATGTAGGATTTGGAGAGGGGTGTTATACTTTAAAGCATGCATTATTTACTTACATTTAAGGAAAGACTATTTATAAGATTTAGTGTCATCAAGAAAGAGAATATATGGATTGCCCTTGGTGGTTGTCACACTTATTGGGAATATCCCTTTTTAGACATTTACTAGCTAAACAATATTTGTTTAGCAAACACCATGTACCAGGCATTGCTCTAGTCACTGAGGCCTCAACATGCAAGAAGTTCCCTGCTCTTGTGGAGAGTGTGTTCTTATTGAGAGAAACAAACATGAAATGAGTAAATAAAGAAATACAGAAATAAGATGATTTTAGGCAAAGGCAAGTGTTCAGAATACTTAGGAAATCAACCCCTGGAGAAGGCGAGCTTAAGCTGAGTGATCAAGAAAGGCCTCACTGAGCAGAAGACATGTGGACAGAGGCCTCGGGGAGAAGCAAAGGCATTTACCTGAAGCTCTGCCTGGGGCATTCCAGGCAACAGGATCAGCCGTGCACAGGCACCCCAGGGGAAATGAGCTGAGTACGTGGGAAATAAAAACAGGCCAGGAAGACTGAGACTCAGTGATTAAAGAGGAAAAAGTTAGAAGAATGAGGTCAAAAATATTTCAGGCAGCAGCAGGATCATGTCGAATCTAATAGCCTACAGTGAAATGTTTGAGAAGCTAGAGGGTTGTGACAGGGAAGTGAAATGAAAGGTTATAGGACATTTTGAAGAGGGTTCTGGTTGCTAAGTAGAATCTCAATACTAGAAAACCAAGGGTGGAGGGTAAAAGATCTTTTAGGAGCTTTATGCTGAAGGCCAAGCAGGAGATCATCATAGCTTGGGTAGAGAGAAGTGAAGGGTTTTAGGAAAATGTCCAGTGGTAGAGTCAGCAGGACTTAATTGCTTGGATTTGGAGAGAGAAAAAGAAAATATATATATATATATAGCTATAGAGGTGTTTACTTGATAAATATTGGTACCATTTACAACATGGAAAAATCTTGGGGGAATTTAGAAATTCTTTTTTGACATTTTGAATCTGAAATGCTCATTAGACTTAAAATACAGATACCAAGTAGTCACTTAAGTTGGAACTCAAGGTGCAGATAAGAGGTGGGGATGTAAATGTGGGAGGTTAATGTATATACAGTCATCATAATGTATATACATGGGATCATACAGCAGAACAGAGAAGATCAGGAAGAGGGTCCGGACTACATGTGCTCCTTCATCCTTCATTTATAGGTCAGACAGCAGAGACATAAACAGAAATCAAAATTGTGAAGTGGTCATTGAAATAGGAGAGAAAAGTATCTCTTAGAAAACAATAAAAGCTTTCATTACTGAGGAACGTATAGTAGACACTATTTAAAACTGGTCATGTGTTAGTGTTAACTCATTTAATCTTCACAATAACTATATGATGGAGGTAAACATAAACACTATTGGATTTCTCTCTTTATAGAAAAGGAGATTGAGATGAAAATTAAGAAAAGAAAGTATTTTGGGAAAGAATGAGCTGGGTCAACTATCCCGAGAGACTGAAGACAAGAAAGTGATCCCCGAATTGGGCAAGATGGAGGTCACTGGTGGTCTTGGAAAAGACAATTTTGATGGAGTGATGAGGGTGGGAGTCCCACAAAAATGTTACATAAAGAATGGGGTGACTTTTTGAGAAGTTTTACTATAAAAAAGAAGGAGAAAAATAAATTTGTAGGAGGGAGAGTCAGTATTAACTTTTTTTAATATGAAAAGTATCAAGAAATATTTTTATTCTGCCAGACATTTTCCTATACATGGAGAGAAATTATTATATGGGAAAGGTGGTGAGTAAATACTATTGAAAAACCTTGAAACCAGGATGGGATTCAAACTGTAAGTGTAGAGAAATGCTTTGGTGGGTTCTGAGACTTCAGGCTTTTAGCAGGAATTCTCTAGCAATGTTTAGCTCTTCTGAAAATCTAAGTAGGTTTTTCCCAGGTAAATCAGTAGATAGAGTTGGGTTTTCCAAGGGGAGTTTGTTAAAGATCCATACCTGGAAGTTGGTACAGTGGTTAGATCAATGCCTAATACCCAAAAATATTACTTTATCCAAATAAAGTGAGATTCTCATCTGTCTTTACTACCTGACTCTGAGTAAGAAAAATTCAATTTTGTATGCATGATGTTATACAGTCATGATTTCAGAGTTCTGTGCTAGAGTAGTGTTGAATTTAACAAAATTTGAAATTTCAACTTTAACTCATTATAAGCACTTACATGTTTCCAAAGAATTGAATCACAGCAAATTGTCATTAATGATTCTTTAGGACAACCCCCTCCCCCGCAACCTCATGGGATTCTTCTGTTTTTCCAGCCTAATGGAACTCTTTCCATTCATTCAATCTGGCATCTTATATTTAGTCAAAATTACTCTTAGAGTCTGAAATGATTAGCTGTTGCTTGAGCATTGAGCATTTGAAGTCATTCTTTCATGATTTTCATTGTCACTAGGACTATTAGAAAGATAGGTAAAACTACCTTTGACAATGTTAATTGTACAAGAAATTTCATCTTGGGCATTTTCTACCTGTCACACCTCCAAGAATCTTTCTGTTCAACTTATCACAAGACAGTAGTGTTTGTTGCAAAGACAATGTCTTACTCATGGTGGCGTCCACAATATCTAGCCCTGCCTAGCACAGAGTGGGTGGGTGCTCAGTGAATGTTTTTTTCAATGATCAAATCAGTGAATTATTCTGCTGAGGAGTTTAACATACACAGTTAAGCACTAAGTGAGGTGATGAAGGAAATGAAACATTAGCTTGTGAAAACAGGTGTGCTTTTTATTGTGTTTCCAACTGAAAAGAGCATGGAACTAACCCTTCTTTCTGTTCCAGATCATTTGGTGAGATGATTATAGAGTTAAAGTGATAATTGAGACCTATAATTTGTTTGCCTAGATACTCTATACCAAGTGTATGACCATTCATTTTCTCATGTCTTCTAGATCCAGTCACTGTTTCTGTTCCCTTTACAAACACTGCTCTAGAACCAACATCACAAGATCCTACAGATACAGCAAATGCTGAAATACTGGAAGGGAAACCCAAGATAATCGTTTCATTCATAAAGAATCTTACAGGTAAGTTTTATTTTGATGCAAACCTTGAGGGTCCAAGCATATCATCTGGAAACAATTTAAAGAGTCCTGCCTCCGTGTCACCTGCCTTATTTTCAATACTTAGTTTATAAATATTGAAGGTGAAGATTTAAATTAAATGCATATGTGATTTTTCTGCTGCCAACATATTCAATACATTTTTATATTTTTAACTCTAAAATAACTCTTGAGAAGGGGATGACTGAAAAAGGAAAATTTCTTCATTTTATTCTGTAGGGCTATTATGTATAGTTTATTTTGTAAAATGAAAGAAAGATGTAAATGAACTTAAATGAGTAGAGTCCAAGTCTCAGAGGCATAAAGTCAAGGCACACTCAGGCTGTAACATTTACCCAAATATAAAAACTTGTAGTAAATTCTATATTATCTGAACATTCATGAGTAACATGTTACTATTAATTCATGAAAAGATAACAAAGCCTTCCGAAATGGAGGAAATGTTGATTAAAGAACTTTAGAAAATGATAGACTGTTGGCTGCCTCTGACAGGACTATAAGTTGTTTGATTTTGAGCTTTCCATTTGGGTTAAAGTAACATATTTGCATGTGTTTGTGTTTTGGTTTCTTAAAATAACATCTTTGTTTAATTATAATTCACATGCCATATATTCTAACACATCAGTTATATGTCATATAAAATCATTGTATATACAATATTTTTAATCCAAACTTGATAGTGGATATGGAAAACCAATACTATTTATGCCTTTATATATAGCATCTGTATTATCATCATTATCATAATAAGGGTAGCAGGTAAGAAAGGCAACTACTAAACAAAGAGCTAAAAATAGGTTATCTTTCAAAGACCAGCACCTAGGAAAACGAAACACAGCCCCTCCCACTCCTGAAAAAAAGACTTTCTCTGGAAGAGAATCAGTTGGTGAATTCCACAGACTCCATTACAAACTTACGCTGTGCCAGACTCTGAATGTCCTTCCCTGAACAAGACAAAGGAGGCTAAGAAGGGAGGAAGGAAAATGGACATGGGCTTAGTGCTAGCAGAAAGCTAGCAGAGGCGTCTTACTTGAGTCAGAGTGGTCAAAGGGTAACAGTCAAGATGTATTTTGTCTCACCATTCATGAATTCAGTCCTATTCCAAACCCAGATTCTCATCCCACATCCTAACACCTGCTGATATGGAAGCAGTAGCAGGACTATAAAAGAACTAGAGGGCAATTGCTATTCATTCAGCAAGAATTTAATTTGTCCGATGTCTCTCAAGTCTGTACAAAGTGGGAATGAAGATGAGAAAGGCAGGAGCTCAGTGTTTCTAGTGAAGAAGTTAATATGTGAATAATTATGATGAGCAGCCATGCACACAGAAAACCAGAAGAGGAACTGGGATCTGGGAGCATACCCAGGCAAAGTCTTCATTTAAAAGTAACAGTAGAACTCTTAAGTTGAAGCAGAAATGTTAGCCAAAGAAAGGTTGAGGACACAATTGGAGAGAGGTGAGAGAAGAGATAAAAGTAATAAGAACTCCAGAAAAAAAAAAAAAGGAAATACTAAAAGGTTGTATTCACTGGAGACTGTAATGCAGATGAGCAATTGCAAGCAGTTCTGCCTTGCTCCTAGGAAGGCCTGGGCAGTAGAAAGAAGTTAGGGTAATCAATCACCAAATAGCAAAGGGCTTTATATGCCTGGCTAGGTTTTATCTTGTGGTGAACAGGATGCGACTTGAAGACCCAGGTAATAAAAAATTAGAATGATCAATTTGCACATTTAGATAAGTCTGTTAAGTGGAAGGGAAATACGTTTTGGGTAGAAAGACTGGAAGCAGGCTCAGTTAGCAAACTGTGAGCTATAATCCTGGTGGAAGTAGAGAACAATTAGGGAACTGGCAATATGCCAGGTGAGAGATGAAAACCTGCTGAACTAAGACAAAAGAAAGGACATCCAAGAACCACTGGGGGAGTGAATTAGCAAAATTCTGTTACTGTCTGGAGATCCTGGGTAGGATAAGGTAACACCAGGGTTTACAATTGTGTTGATGTCATTATTAAAAAAAGAAAATGAGATAGAGGAGGAGATTGGGTAACTGAGACAAGAAAGTAGTGGTATTAATGAGTGTAATCTAGGTGCCATTCACTGTTTTTCTGCCACAATTTTAATTAATTTTTGTTTAATGCTGAATCTAAACATAAATCTCTAGGTTTTCTTTCCTAAGCTCTTGTTCTGCTTGCCCAAAATCTCCTAGACCTTTCCATTTGGACATCTTGATGACACCACAAAAAAATGAAGAATTTCAAAGTAGAATCTAAACAATAAGATTAAATTTAGGCACCGGAAAAGAAATTTTTGTAAGATTACTTTCTCGGCAGTACTACAGAAAAGAAGACCATGTAGATGCAGAGACAGATAAGTTAGAAGTGGCAGGAAGATGAAGGAACACTTGCTTATCAATATGATATTTTTCAGTAAAATCATCTGCTGAAACCAATGGAGGTAACTGGCAAATAAAAGAGAAACTGAGTAGGATATCATTGATTAGTTGGATGCAACTAAGAGGAGGACCTTGATTTTTCGGTAGCACCAATCCATGTGGCTTTTTAATTTTTGCCAGTATTGCTCATCAACCCAGGTACAGGAATGGAGAACAGAGTTGATACAGGGTTGATGTGTTTTAGATTGAGAGGGGAAATGTAGAAGTTATGGAAATAAACAGCACTCAGTGGGAAGGTGCTGGGATGATAACAAGTTAAGGACAGAGAGCAGGCTCCTGGAGAATATTTCAGAAGTAGAGAGACTCTAGATGATAAAAACCCAGATTTGGCATGGAGGTGATGATGGAGGCGGAAGGGAGAAAAAGGTCAAGGGCTTTGACAACAACACAGGAAAGCTGATACTAATTTGTCAGATGGTGCATCCTCTATTTAAAGGCCACTAGTCCAACCTCCTTAAACAGAATTTTGTATTAAGGTTTAACCTTCAACAAATCTTGGCCAACCAGCTGTCATCCTAATGAACTGTTCACCCACAATGAACCATTCTGTATGAATGACTTGTCTTAAATCCTCTAAAGCAGGTATACAAAAAGTCAGTGACTCTTTTTGTTGTTGTTGTTTTCTACTTAGTGATTATTTACACACAATAGTTTGTGGGAGTTTTGTAACTTTCCTTTTCTCCACAACAAAAAATAAAACAGTTGACACAATTTGGAGAAGAAACTTGATTTCCCTTTTGAATAAAAGCCCTAGAGCAAACCTCTTGGATAAGAAGCAATAAGGGGATATAATAAATGTTCTCTGAGTTGACATCTAAATTACTTCTCTTTGCAGAGGCATGAAACCAGTCTAACTCTCACCTCTTTGAGGGTTGTTTGGTCATCTCTATTATGTTAAACTCCCATGTCCAGCAGAATATCTGTCAGTATACATAATACATATATTAACTCTGGGCTTCATATGGAACTAAATATAATTTTTAAAGATCAGTATCTATGCTTGAAGTTTTCAATTAATTAGATACCATCATCACCTTCTAATGGAAGGAGAAAGGCTATTGTCTTACTCAATTTCTTTCTTTCATTATCTCCTCAAAATGAATCACGGTAAAGAAAAAAAAGTTTTATTTTTCTTCATTCTCAAGGAGAGGATGTTACTTACCATGAGCTCCAAGGATATAAATGACCTGAGCTAGAACAATCTAATCTAACTTAGATAAAGGGGGTTAGGTAGAAAGTATCTGAAGGGGCTCCAGATTGTCTTAATTTCATTACTTTACAGCCTGTGTTTTTGCAGGTTGGCAAAAATATTGAATCTGAGAGTCAGTTATTGAATTAATGGCCAAATGCTGCAATTACTTTATTTACCATACCTCGTCATTATACTTGTTCCTTCAGCAATGATGAAGTTTTGTTTACCTTTTCCCTTGTACGAGTTTAAGCTTTACAAACTGCATTTGATCTGATGCTTGGACCTGGGTTTGGTGTTTGAATGTGTGCTTTTGCAAAATGGAGATTAATAAAAATAGAGTGATGGCTATGAATGCAAATCCAAAAATTGTAGGAAGAAACAAGTGAGGATTGAATAATTGAGTGTTGCCATTTTAATCAATAGATCTATCAATATGTCATATATCTATATGAAAAACTTTTACATTCTGTCAAATGACCTGCAATACAAGAAGCTTAACACCAACAGTTTTAAGTGATATGTGCCATATGACAAGGCACTGGACACAGGCACATAAATAGGTATCCTGGAAGGTTACTGAATGCAAAGACAGGTTGTGCTTCCCAGTGATACACTACAGAGTCAAAAGGACTCTTTGTTTGGTGGTCCTCTTTCTCATCATGTACACTCCTATCAGACGAAACCATTTGCAGGTTTCTAACATTCCACACTCTTCCTTAACTCAATGCCTTTGGCTATGGGGGTTCGCCTTCCCCAGATTACCTCCATCTACTTGGTCTGTTGAATTTCTATGCATTTTCTATGATTCACCTAAAACAACCCCCAGATGAAAACTCCCCTCCCTTTTGTTTCAATGGCACATTGTCTATACTGTATTACTACACAGATCCTATTGCTTACTGAAATTGCTTATTGGCTGTTTTTTGTTCCCTTGAAGTCAGGAACTGTAGCTTCTTCATCCTTGCATCTCAGTATCACATACAGTGCCTGGCACTTTAGAACCCCAGCAAACAATGTTTGCTTGTGTTTTAATAAAGGCAGTACTTACAGCAGTGAGATGAAGAGAGGATAATAAGAATACTGACAAAGGAATATTATTTGCCTGTGTTATAAATGAAGATTATGTGTGAGCTAAATAAAATTTTATAGGTGGCATCCAGCTTAGGAGCATAAGAGATGCATGTTTCATACTTGATAGCAAAATGAGCAGGGATTTTTTTTATGTAAAATTAAGAAATGTTAGAAAGACAAAACTAGATGGTGAATATAAACAAGATGAGTCAAGGAACTGGGATGAAAAGACCACTGAAAGTTAGCCAGGTGAATGTTTTTGTAATAGTCTTAGGAAAGAAAGAAATGAAAATATGAAAAACTGCAGTGTAGTGGAGAATATTCCATTAAATGCCTGTATCAATAAATGAGGCAAATAGAAAATGGTAAACATATTATTTATGGTTTAACATTAAAACATCATGAGAATACAGATAACAGAAAGATAATTACTGAAGTAAATGATCAAATAATTCAAAATAAAGTAAAAAGAGGAGAGGAATAATTGAATCTGTAAAAGAGTTGTCCAGCAAACGCCCAGGTAGGAGAGAAATGACCTAGTATGTGAGAAACAGAAAGAACAGCGGTAAGAACCAAGTACTGTCATGAAGGGTATAAATGTTTGAGTTCACATTCAAAATTTGAGTTGAAATATGCAAAGCATTTTTTTCCATAGATCTCCAAATCTTTTTCTATGGTGCTGATAACAATGCAAATGGATATTTAACATACCATGAAATAAAGAGCCTTCTAGGAGAAGAGACACCAGAACAAGAACAATTGGAGCTGTTTGATGCTGATCACAACCGGATGTACTCCTATGCTGAACTAATAAGAGCATTTGGACTGACTGGTAAGAGGGTTCTAGGGCTGGAACATGGGTATGGTCTAGAACAATGTTCTGTGTTAGAGCCAAAACCCAACAACCCAGTTGTAAATTTTCCCTTTAAATATACTTAGTCTTCCTTTCTACTTGCTATAAGACTTTCAAAATGACACTCTTACACAGTGTAACATTAAAGCTTTAATATTATAAAGCGATAATATAAGAATGAACTAGAAGCCTACTATTTATTTCATAGAAATAAGAAGTTAAAGCAATATACATTGCAAGACATCTTAAATACCTTTGAAATTGAACAGTTTCCTTCATTGCTTTTTTTTTCTATTTAGTTTTCATAGAATCTGTTATGTGAATAATTTGAAAACATTTTCCATAAATATCTAAGAGCGGTTTCTCTATCAGTGATGTGAGGAATGACAGACTAATACTAGAGCTGGCATCTGAAAGCTGGTAGAGTAACAGAACACACTAGACATAAAATAAAATTCCACATAGCCAAATGCTAATTTACTTTAAAATTGGAGAATGAAGCTGGGCACAGTGGCACACACCTGTATCCCAACAAATCAGGAGGACTGCAAGTTTGAGGCCAGCCTCAGAAACTTAGTGAGGCCTTAAGCAATTTAGTGAGAACCTGTTTCGAATTCAAATTCAAAAAAAAAAAAAGAAAAAAGAACAATGAAAATGTATTAAATTGCTATTATTTCCCTCTGACTTAAGGAAACCCAAGCAAAGATGAGCTAAGTACTTCTATTTTGGCAGATGTGACTCTACCTACCCCTCCAGTGGTGTAACTACATTCTCAGGGAATCGCATCCATGTATACTGAAAAGCGCATCACCAGAACATCCACTATGTAATAGGGCCCATATGCCTATATATGCCTGGACATTGCCAATGTCTTACATTTGCCAATCCCTTTGACTTTTTTTTAAAGGTCTCTGCTTGATCTTGCTCCTTCCTAAGAAATATCAGAGGCATTCTGAGGTGGATTTTGATCTAAACCTCTTACCTCTGCCTCCTTCCCCGGCAGAACCTGCATTTCTTACTCACACCTTTCTACTGCTACATGGAAGATCATTCTGTTGCCGTCCTAGGTTGAGATGTTTTTGAATGCCTACCACCTGTCCATCTGGGGCTTTTCTTTGACTCTATTAGGCAGCTGTCCACATTTCCAGCACGTTCTGTCAACATTGGGAATATGAACTATGCTAAATAAATGGAGTAACAGAATCAATGACTTACACATGTAACACATGCTAAAGGATCCTATTAGTAACATCAACAATGTATGAGGCAGGCATCCACTGTGGACAGGCAGAGTTTTTCCTGGTACAAGTGAGCTGTATAAGAATTTTAATTGACCAGTGGGAGGTAAAAAGAGGTACATGTGGCATGACAGTTTAGAGATCACTGAGCTATCCTCCGGAAAATTCACCCAGTGTCATATCCAGAGAGTCACCCAGCGAGTGCCCCAAGGGAACAAAATGAGCACTCACTGGTAGGGCTCTTTCAATACCCACTAAAAGCACGGACTGCACATTCATTGTTTTCAATGAACCCTACAACCTACGTGATTTTCAATTGGCACAGATAACAGGTTTCAAAACAAAACAAACAAACAACAACAACAAAAACGACGGATATGTTCTCAGGTTAGCATTCTGTACTTTTGAATACTTGTGCTCCAGTGGTTTCCACATTCTGTTAATAACAAAATGCATTACTAAATACACAGGCACAATTTACGCAACATAAATAGGAAATGGGAGTCCAATTTACTAAATGCCTAACAAAGATAAGAGAAAGCTTGGAAGCAGGACCATGGATGAGAGAACAGGTAGTACAGAAAAGCAGAGGGACTTGAGTAAATTTCTCCATTGCCTTCATCCTTTTTGAAATAGAAACTGTCATTATCAATTGAATTGATTATGAGAAATGTTATTTATACCTAGAATCTATATGTAGTTTAAATTTCTAAACCTAAAAATGTTTTTATTCTAGAATAAATAAGAAGATGGAAGTACAAGAAGGAAGAATATATTCAAAGCAGTGGATTAAGTTTATTTTACATCATGTTCTTTCTATATTCTCTCATTTTGGCAAGTTGTGTTAGGAAAGGTACTTCTGACCAAGTTTCTAAAACTTGTTAGTTCTTTTGAACTTTCTTCAGTTTAAAATAGACAGCTTTTATTTCGTGAAAGTCTCTAAAAATTCCATATTACTTCCAGTCTTCAAGAAAAACAACATTTTTAGTTTGAACTTTTAAAATAAATAATTTCTAAGAATACTATATACACATAAATATGTATAAACATTATTATATATTTTATCCCATTGATATAAACATCATTAGCATTTTCTTTTTCTTTTTCCTTTTTGTTATTGGAGATCAAACCCAGGAGCGCTTAACCATGTAGCCACATACCCAGCCGTTTTTAGATTTTATTTTGAGACAGGGTCTCACCAAGTTGCTTAGGGCCTTTCTGAACTGCTGAGGCTGGCTTTGAACTTGTGCTCAGTCTCCTGTGCAGGAATTACAGGTGTGTGCCACTATGCCCAGCAGCATTTGCTTTTTCTGATGAAACTTAACTAATTGCTAATGTTGGGATTTTTAAGCATTCATGCCCTGTCACATTCATAAGTTGAATCTATGCTATAGCCAGAAGGCAGACTTGAGCTTGAAAGCAGAACTGATGATTTTTAAGCTATTCATCACCAGTTCCTTTGGTTTGTGAATAAAATGCATAGGCTACTCCAAGATATCACAGCACACACACACATATCATTGCTAATGTGAAATTTAATGTTACATGCAATTTACCAAAGTATGTATATTCAAAAGTTTCCATTTTCAGCTCCAAGTAAAGAATATTCATGAATCCCCATCAGAGTTCTAACAGGGTGACTAAACCAGAATTGTCATGAACATATGAAATTCACCTTTTCAACATATTATACTTAAATGCAGTTCTGTTCTAAGTAAAAGAGTAACAGATCTCTCATTTTAAAAATTAAATCTATGTGAATGAAGTATATTGATAACAAAACTTTTCTTGGTTGCTTGTGTTTTTTTATTTAATTTTGATCGAAATGGAAATCTGATCCTAACATTAGGACTAAGAAATTTGATTTTAGGAGAAATGATCTCTTGAAGTACGGATGACTCTATAGATTCAGTGAAACTCAAGTTAGTCCCTCTCTCTGAAGTAGGGAATTATCATTTATTACACAAGATAGGATTACTGAAAAAGCTTAAATTAACTGTGGGAAGTAATACAGGAATATAATACTTTTAATTCTATAAAATTCAGTGAGAAATTCATGTTTTACTGGTTAATACATAAAAGTACTTTGTAATACCTGAGATATTGTAATACCTGAGATTAATGTTGGTATTGGACTTCTTTTGTAGACAGACATTTTAGCCATCATATTTGAAATAACAGTATAATTTTACATGGAGTTCAGATTTTTCACTCTGACTTCTGATTATACTCTATTGAAAAAAATCTGGATTTACCACACCACCTATGCAGAATTTCAGAGATTTTGCAGATTATTATGAGAATTATTGCTTAAATTATGTCTGAATTACCCCAAAGAAAGAGAAGGAATGATACAATTATTGCATGCCTCTTGGTTTCCCTATTTTAAAAAATAAGATTATCATTATTTATGTCACTCATCCCCTGCTATAATCACCCCTAATTCAGGAATACAAACACCCAAGTGATTTGGGACCTGTGACGCTTTGCAGGATTTGTAGGAAAATGAAAACATGAGTATTTTAATTGTGTGAACTTCTAAGCACGTTTTATTAAAATTTGTCAGAAAAATTATTTTGCTATCTGCCAAAAATATGAATAGCATTTTTTTTTGCATGAAATATGTCTTAAAAAGCTAGTTAAAACTCTTACCATCTCAGAAGCAGGACAAGATGTTCTCTAACACATTTAGAGAGGTTTCAACAACAGAATTCCTACGATTCTCAAACTTCATTATATAAGATTTAAAAATTCTCCATTTCAAGTTGTTTTTGATTATACCAAAAGGAAACAGATATTCTCAAATGTGATTTTACAATTACAAACTAGCTGAATTACTTAGCAGCAAGGATAAAAATGAATTAATTGTACTTTTTCAATAAAAGAGATTACTGGATTATCACTTGAAGTCATTCTTCAAATTACTTGGGTCCTTTTGAAACATTTTCTCTTCAGAGTTAAGACATAGAATTTTAGTTGTATTTTGGGATTTGGTAAGTAGCTGAGTTTTAGAGAGTTTCTGGCTTTCTCCAACCTCAATGATAAATCAATGCTTTAACCCAAACATTAGCTTTTTCCTACCCCTGTGCTTATGTGGTGGAATACTAGAAGTTACACTCTAGAGGCAAAATGTCTTAATTCTCATTTGTGTTGAACATCATAGTCAGCTATGGAGACATTTAAAAAGCTGCAAAAAATCTTTCTAAAAAATAAATGAATAAATCCTTTCTTGAAAATTTTACTTTATTAGAGAATTTAACCTAAGTGTGGAAAATTTAAAATCACTTTCTCTATGAAAACTGTCTAACAATAAGCTTCCTAAGAAAAAATAAAAATAACAATGATCAGTAAATACCTACACTTAACATTCTTAAATCTGGAATAGAATTTTAATATCTATGTTGATGTACTTGTCAAGTAAATCCCTCTGTTTAATAAAAATACATTCTCACATTTAATACATTTTTTTCACACCCGCATACACATACAAAAATTGGGAGACCTGTCTTAGAAACATGTTTATAATGAATGCACATAATATTGTGAAATAAAATCTGAATAAAAATTTTATTCCAACAACATTTCTCTATTTTAAATCATGTTTATTGTTTAAGTTTTTATCACAGTGGAGATTAAGTTATAATCATCCAGTCAGTGCCTGTTAACTTCATCAAATTCCAAGAAAGTAAAATCAACTCATTCATACACTCTAAGCCCCGTTACCATCCCACCATTCATTGCCTATGTATTCTTTTGTCCCTTTTAACGGCAACATTATTATAAGATTGTGAAAAGGTATAATAGGCTTATATGTGTAATACCATTTCTTCAAGTATTCAGAGAGCAGTACGTTTGTCTGTATTGTACATTAGAAAACTACTTGTGACATTATTTCTAAGTACAGGAAAGTGGCTCCTGGTGGGAGTATAATGAAGTTGTATGTCATAGTGTATGACAAGGATTTATAGCATTCTAGAATTTTCATAACTCTTCTGTTAGTGAATGACATTAGGTAAATGTTGCATTTTTCAGATGTCAATCATAGGATTTCAAACTACAAATAAATAAAGCATACACTCAACAGGTGTAGTGCAAATACTAAGTAAACAGAATGACATGGAAAAAATAATAGTAAATGGTCCAGCAGGGAGGTCCTGGTTTTATGATGTCTGTGACTTGCATCCCTGTTCTACATGAATACTGTCACTATTCCATGTCAGTCACAATGACTGGAAAAAGGCTGCCAAAGTGAGGCTGAAGGACCAAGGAGGGAAAGAAGAACTTATCTTTACAAACAAGTGGCTCTATTTCTGTCACCTCTGTATACCAGCAAATTCTACAACTTCTGCAGACAAAGCAGGTACCAATAATGAGAACCGTTTAATGTTCTGTTTAAAAGAAATAACTGTTGGCACCTATGTACAATAGAGTGTGGCCCAGAAAATAAAAGGGAAAAAGATGATGTTTCAAAAATTAGAACTTTGGGTTTGTAACATCTAAATATTCAAAACTTACATCACAGAAAAGCCATCAGTCACATAAACATTCAAGCAATGGCCTTATTTTAAAATGCCATAATCTCTAGTATTCTGAACAAAAGTCAGAGTTTGCTGCTTTGTCTTCATTATGCATTGAACAAAATGTAACTTGTTAAAATAAAAATAGGAAAAAAATAATAAAATTCTTCCAGAGGAAAATTATTAGTAGGAGGAAAATGTGACAACTGATTTATACATTTTTTTAATTACACATTTTCCCCCAGAAGTGTCCATAGTTGGTAAGAAAAGGAAAACAAAACAAAACAAAAATAAAATAAACAAAAAGGACAAAAAACTGAGCCATTTATCTTTTCATTTACTTCCTCTGTATTCAGTTTTGAGGGAAGTGTTCTCTGATGTAGTGTTCTGAGTTCACATGTTAATGCTATAGGAAAAGCTATGAGAGACATCTGGATCCTGACTGTCTTACTACTTCATTCATGAATGTGTTGTACCCTCAACAAATATAGCAAGCAGCCAGATAAAATTCTCTGAATTAGGACACAGAAACACACACACACACACACACACACACACACACACACCTCTTAGTACGAGAAAAGAAACCATTCTTTATCCGTGACACACACATATCAACATTTAAAACTAAAGTCTGATACAATTAATTTAAATAATTAAGGCTTCTAAAAGGTTCAGTGCCAAAACTTTCTGCATCAGTATTTGAACCAAATACATTTTCGCATTTTAGGTTTGTGCTTTGTACAGCCATCTTAATTCCACAGAAATTCATTAGTAAGATCTGATAAGGAAGTGTTAGAATTGTTTGCTGACATTTTACTTTTAGTAGCTGTTAAACTAATTTCTAGCAATAAAAATTCAATGACTGAACAGATTTGTTGTCATCACCTGGGCTGCTGGCTCATTTCACCTTCTTTTCATGTTTAATATCACCATTTCTTTTGTATTTGCCATTGAGGAGTCCGTTGTGGTAATGTCCATTAACAGTGCTATGCTTATTTTTAGGCCACAGACTGGTGATTTTTCTGTAGGTAAATTTGGTCACCCAGGAGAAGAGGAAGTAAAACAAGGCAGCACCAAGCAAAAGCACAAAGGCAATATCCAGTAAAAAATACTGACAGAAAGAAATTTGATAGACAGCGGCACGTAGGTGATGGGCTCCATTGTGACGAAGAATGTAATCTATCCAATAGACAGTCCGATTGACAGGGTGACCAGGTTGATCCTTGTGAATTTCTGAAAGCTTCTGAGCTCTCCGACGGTAGCTGTGGAGTGGGTTCAAAATGCAGAATAATTACATATATTGAAGGTTCTGTATTTATGGATCTCTCAATTTAAAAATGGGGGAAATAATAAAATTACTATCCTTCAGTGGGTACTTCATATGCTCCAGGCACTGAAAAAAGTATTTTAAACACATTATCTTATGCTAACCCAATAAAATACATTTAAACTGGTGAGGCAAATGAAAACCACACAGAAAGTAACCTGAATAGAACTTGAGATTCTAGTTCAAGTTTTCCTGACTCCAAACCCTATGCTCTTTCCACACTAGAGGCTTTTAATTACTACTAATCAATCAGTGGGTCTGAACCAGCAAGGGCAGTATTTACTAGATTCTAAAAGTAAAGGACAGAAAAAAAAAATGCAGAACTTGTTGCATCAATTTTTAAGCAATGACTTTCTTTTTTTTATTTAAAGCAATACTGAATGATACTATAAGAATATTATTAAACATATAAAAAGGTTGAAAATACTACTAATTACAAAGTCACATATGACATTATATGTAGTATATGTGTGAATATATGTGAGCATGTATATATGTTTAAAGAAAACACTCTCAAAAGAGTTAATTTTAAAAACAAGCTACAATGGTAAATATAAATATATTTTATATTAATTTAAAAATATGTAACTGCAATAAAATGCATTTCATTCTAACTTAAAAATATCTGAACACAATAAAGTGCATTTTATTTTAACTTAAAAATATGTAAATAAATAGTGACAATCAATGACAAATGGCCAGAATCCCTTTGTACATGGATCCCTGATTGAAGTTGATATTGTTTTGACATAAGAAATACAAATTCTGCCTAGAGAGATTAAGAATATATATAATAGAGGATATGGTTCAAGTTGTGCTTTACAGAGAAACAAAAATTTGTACATACATGAAGACCTGATAGGTCAAGATAAGAGTATGAACTAAATCATAAAGGTGGGAGGCAAGAATATGGCCAAAGTCATTTGGAAAAGGCATCTAGTACTAGGGATGTTCAGTTGAGTTAGACTTGCTTAACAGTAATAAGAATGACAAAATATGTAGCTTAATATGAAAAAAATTCAAAAATGTATCCCAATAAGAATATGAAGATTGCAAAATTAAAACAAACAAACAAATAAAAAAAGCAAATACTGTGATTAAAATGGTCATTCAAGCCAGCATTGAACTATTCCAAGGAATATCTTCGATAAGGCCCTTTGAGAAAAAGGAATTACCTTGTAATTACAGCTCATTACTTTACAAAGTATGTCTTCCGTTAAAAGATGGCCACAGATTAAAGATGCAATTTTAATAGTGATTAACTCCCACCTTTCTTTATAATTTGCCTTAAAATAATAAAATCAACAGATTCAAAACAAACAAACAAAAATCCCTCAAAACAAGAGAAGCAATGAGTTTATTAAATAAACCCTAAAGACTAGTTAGGGAAGAAGTAAAATATATAATGTCATTTAAATATGATATGCTATAATATCACTTAATTATAAGTAAAAGAAATAAGAAATACTTCTTCAGCAATATTGGTTACTTGGTTTAAAGTAGAATATCTTGGATATGATATTGGTGAAGACCTCTCAATAATTATTGCACATTAAATGTGGTACATGGTCATGTATTTGAAAACAAGAAAGATAATGAATTCAGTTTATATAATGACTTTTAGCAAAGGAAAATACTTTATAAATTATTGTTATTTTATTATTGTTATTATTGTTACTGTATACAGTAAGATATGTTCAAAATATTTCAGTTAAATATTTAAAAACGTCAAGTTGTATGCAATTAACTCATTATTTATTAATATGCATACTTTTCTTAGAATGATATAAATGTATTCCCTATACAAAATTTAAAATTCTAAAATTGAGCTTCTATGCATACTTTGATATTTTGTAACTATTGTTTAATTTTAATGTGACCTGAGATTAAAGCCAGCTTTCTCTGTGATTCATCCTGGCTAATACCTCACAGAACACAGCAGGACTGAGTTGGGGTTATAGCTTAGTGGTAGAGCCACATGAAACTCTTAACAAAACAAAACAAAACAACCCACTGGACTGTTCTAAATTACTGAACTTTTTACTCTTCTCTTCATAATCTAGTATCAGTAATAATTGCCCCATTCAAAACACTCTTAACTTTTGAGCTTCATTTAAAAATTTACATAGAATATAGACACATTTTTTTCCATAAGAACATTATGTTTTGAAATTCATTAGACCATAAGAAGAAAAGTACAGGTTATAGAAGATGAATATACTCTGGATCACAAAACATATTGCTCAAGTGCCAGAGCAGTGATTAAGACACTGGGTATTTTAAGGGGTCAGAACCTAAGGGACACCTCTGAGCCCACATGAAGGCTGCATAATGAATCTCAGTCAAATCCAGAATTTTCTATGCAAGCTGCATCACTTTATATGAAGTTTCTTATAGTTGGTATTCGTTAGAATATGGCAAGGTTTCTCATCTCAAAGTTAAGCCCTGGTTATGAACAGAAAAAGTTACACTATTCCAGTCTAATGTTATTTGAAATACCTGATAAATTAAACATCATTACAATGGGGAAAACTGCTCCTTTGTTTTCAAACTACACTGGCCATTCTCCACCCTCTGAGACCCATTTGCAAAACTCAGGGCACAATGAAAATTTAAAAAAGAAAAAAAAATTGTGATTCATCATTTACAAAGTAAATAAACCTGAGCATTTCAACAATATCTAGTACTACAGAAAGCCAGCAGCAGTAGGTGGGTGTTGTAGTTACAAAAAGCTCTGGCCTCAGAATCCAACAGTCCTGGCTTCAAATTTCTACTCTAATAGTTGTGTGACTGGGCAAATGATTGAAGTTCTCTGAGTTTCAAGTGCCTCATTTCTACCATGTAGATGATGAAAACTTATGATATATTTAGGATTATATACTTTACACTGAAATAAAAGACACAACATTTGACACACTGTAGGGCCCCAGTGATTGTTCCCATTGTAGTCTCTCTGACAATGTATTATGGTGTGTGTGTGTGTGTGTGTGTGTGTATGAGGAATCTACTTTAATATTAATTGAAACCTTACCTGGGGTTATTGATAACTTTCACCAATGCTTCATAAAGCTCTCCTTCAGTAACTGTCTTCCACTCTAGCAATATTCCCATGCCTTTTGCCTGTACCCGGGTCATAGTGTCATAATGGTCTCCAAAAAGTGGGATGCCCACTACAGGCACACCATGATACATAGTTTCAAAAATACTGTTCAAACCACCATGGCTCAGGAAGGCTTTAATATTTGAATGCCCTAAAGAATTAAAAAAAAAAAAAAACTTACATTATCTCTCTAGATGTTTCCAGAAATTTCTTAAATAGCAATACTACAGTAAATATACATTTAAGATACAAGATTTTCAAAGGCATAATTTAACTGATTCCTGTCTCTAGCAATGAAAACGTTTGCTCTTAACAAAATTACCTGGTTTGTATACATCAATCAAAAGCCATTTTTAGGTAACTGAAATGTATATCTTTAAGCATTAAAATACATTACAACTTTCAAACACTGACAACAGGTGCCCAGCAACACAAATTTCAATGGCCAAGAAAGAATAGGAAGCCAATGAAAGCAGAAATGCCAAATGATATCAAGGTAGACCACGTTCTACTAAAAATAGGGATTTCCTTTCTGGCTACTCAAGCATTTATCTATATTAAAGTCAAACACACTTGTTTAAAAAAAAATGTAAGGCTGGATTCCAGAAGTCAATTAACTATTTAGTGCTTATCCATGAAAGAACACTGTACAATAATCACCATTTACAACACTCAAGTTCTCCCAGAATCCATGTTTTATACTACTTGTTTATATACCTAAAATGTGAAATTGAACCAAGCAGAGGAGGATATTTGTACAAAATCAGTACTAAGAGATGCAACATCATGTAACATCTAGTTGTCTTGAGAATAAAAGAGATGACTTCTCAAAACTTTAATGAGATACTTCAAAATCTAGATTTGTCCTCATGTAGGAAATAGCCTACGTGTCATAAAAGGGACCAGAAACTTTCAAAAGAAGTTTTTAAAAAATAAACTCCACACTTAGGAAACCTGTTGTTGGCAAAAAAAGGATTGCAGCATGCAGAAATATATTTTAGATATACACACAGCATTCAAAGTAGACTGTGTGTGTGCATCTCAGCCTTAATGGGCTCCCAGAACATTCCTGCCCAAAGTCAAACAGAGTTTGGTCAGGCAGTGTCTCTATCCCTTACTTGCAAAAATGGCTTCTCATACTGTTAGGCTCAACTAAAGAACCCACAGAAATCCACAAAAGTGGTTTTCAAACTTTCTTTTTAGCAGCAGAACCCTATCTCTGAACAAAACCATACCACCAAACACAGCAGTAAAAAACAAAGCAGAGCTGGTGGGCAGAAAGGAGGGGGATATTAAGAGGTAACAGGAGGGGAAAGATACTGATTTGGTTCCTACTTCTCACTCTGGAAGAATCTTCTGATCATAGTTGGAAACCATCAAAGAACATACAAGGATCATGCCTAGAGTGAAAAAGGGCATTTATCTTAGAGAAGTCAGGGAGATGACTGGAAGACCAGAGAAGACATGGACGCTGGAAGGCCTGCGGGCCTGGACCATTGAATAGTTACACCTTGCTGTAGGTCACATGTGAAAGAAGTTTAGATGTTGCTGGATAATAGTGTCACACTTGCTTTGAGACAGCTGATTGTCAAGTTATTTAACTTTCTGGCTTTCTGTGGAATTTGAGGTCACAGTAGTAAACACAAAAGTAAAAAAGAAAAAAAAATGCAACTATTTCTTACAAGAAAAAAATGTCTTATGTTTGTGTCTCAATTTTATCATTTACAGGATATTTTAATGAAGTAGATAAAAAGAACTATATGTATAAAACTCTTTACTTTTAATAGTTACAAATTCATATTGCTGGTTTTTAAGAGGATCACTGTGTAGCTTTTAGAAACTTTGTATTAAAAGCTTATTTTTAAGAGTATAATTTAAAATTAAAGCCACTTTTATATAATATTAGGTGTTACCATTCTTGAGTAAATGGTGGCTAATATTGTGAACACTAATAACTTTTTCTTTATGATTTCCTTTATATATATTAAGCCTTAATATAATATTATATTTTCCTAGAAACTTAATAACACTTTTACTATCTATGCTTATTAAACATAGAATTAAATTATTGATTCAAATATACCTCAAAGATATGAATAAAATTATTATATTTTAATTTTGAGTTGAGGATCAGAAGCCCAAGAAATAACTAAAACAAAAAAAAAGTGTTTTTTTTTTACCTTATATATAGAAAACAATTTAATGTTTTTTTATTAAGCCAAAATATAAACAGTAGGTCAATGACAAAGTTGTGCATCTGCTTCTTGTGAGACCATCTTTATATGTAACTCTATTTGATTGAAATAAAATCTAAAGCAAACATAAAATTAAAAATCATATTTACATTAGGAAGTGATAAAATCTTTTGGACAGAAAAGATACACATAGGTTTACACATGAACACACAATCACATAGTTTATATAACTCAAAAACACTATATTGGGGTTAGGGATGTGGCTCAAGCGGTAGCGCTCTCGCCTGGTATGCATGTGGCCCAGGTTCGATCCTCAGCACCACATACAAAGATGTTGTGTCCACTGAAAACTAAAAAATAAAATATTTTTTTTAAAAAAGTGTTTTACAATGAATCCCACTTTCATGTATAACTATGTCCATTAAAAATAAATAAATAAATGGAAAGGAAACTAGTAGAATAGAGGAAGGGGATCTGGGGAGGGAAGAGAGGAGGGAAAGGGTGAGTAGTGGGGAAATAAATTAAGCAAATTGTGTTGTATGCATGTACAAATATGTCACAATTAATCTCCACTATTATGTACAACTATAATGCACCAATAAAAACATTTAAAAATAAAGTGTTTCAAAAATGCCTACTGATTTAAGAAGAAATTCAGACTGATGACCCAATACTGAAATTAAAACAAATCTATCTCTCTAGCTTTCTGCTTCTTTTTGGTTTCACACAAATGAATAATTTCTAATTTCTCTGGATTATCAGAGACATCTATAATAAAACTGTAACACCAGTTTGTATTATTTTCATTAGTTTAATTTTACTACTTTTATCTGGCTATCCAAATCAGGTATAGCTTTATTCACTGGTAATTTATGTAGCTTATTAAGTATATTTTCCAGATAATTAAAATTGATGACTGGTCTAAAATTTTAAATTAATGACCATAGTGATTACATTTCACATATCATTTTCCAAAAAGGTTTGAAATGTTGGTCTGAAATTTAAGAATTGAGAGACTAGATAAAAACATAATGACTTCATCATAAACTATACGTGTATTTTACAAGTTGCTTAAGCATAAAAAATTAAACTCTTAACATCCAAGTAAGTACCCACATGTCACTCACCAAGCAGGTCATTTTGCGGTAACCACTCTATTAGTTTTGTGTTGTTTCCTAGATTCTTTGGTTTGGTTCCAGAAAACCTGAAATGTATACCAGACAATGAATCTCTCAAAAATCAAACCTTACTCATGGTACAGTGTCTCTGGTTACACTTTAAAGTAAATGTTTTATGATTATTTGTTGATATTTTTATGAATGAAGTCATCCATCAGCATCAACAAAAATCGATTAAGTTTCTTTCACTAACATCTTTCACTGATTGGAGGACAGGTAAGAAAATAATTTGCTTTCTATAAAGATCTATTTTCCACTGGCTTTTCTCACCTCTGTACAGAGATGGGGGAAAACCAACCAAATGATCCTTTACTAGAAGTCATTCCACACTAGTTAGTACTCAGAAGCTGAAAATAGGAAGAGTCACCAGGGGCAGTCATCAGCCCTGATCCTGGACACCCTGAGCCCAAGGGGAAAGGGGCAGGAACTGGAAGAAAGAAGAGCCCCAGGGAAAGGAGGTCTGGAGACCAAAGGATATTAGTAGGCTGTTCCTAATCTGATTTTTAAAAGATAAATCACAAAGAAAACCAGAAAAAAGACAAGAAAAGAACAGGTATCCTAAATAAAGAGGCAGCAAGTTTTCTGAGTGAAAACGAATAGAATAAACAATGGTACTGGAATCTGAAAGGAAAAGTTCTGAATAGTTAGAATACAACATGTGTCCATCTCATTGCTCAGCCAGGAGAAGCTGGAAGTCATTCCTACATAGTAATTATCAATCAAAGGGGAAACCTACATGACTTCAGACACTTTCTTTTAATTATGGTAGAAACCCTGGGATTGACCATGTTCATTACTATATCTCTACAACCCCACAGCAGTGGCACATCCTAAATAAATTTATGCTAAATAAAGTATTCAGGTCTGATTTTAGGTTGGGAATTCCAGAGATACATACCAGTTATCAGGGCCTGCACAAGAAGCTGGAGTTGATGTAGGGGGTTATCTTTTTTTTTTTTTTTTTTTTAATTTTTTATTTTTTTATTGGTTGTTCACAACATTTCAAAGCTCTTGACATATCATATTTTTTTGTACTGAGGATTGAACCCAAGGACACTTAAACACTGAACCATATCCCTAGTCCATTTAAAAATTTTTATTTAGAGACAGGATCTCACTAAGTTGCTGAGGCTGGCTTTTGGTTTGTGATCCTCCTGCCTCAGCCTCCCAATCTGCTGCATTACAGGCGTGTGCCACATCTGATGGTTTGCAGTTCTATCTTAACCAGTGTTAACTAGTAAGTTCCTGAGTTTTTAGAGGTCTGGTCTCTTGGATTAAGAAATCAAAAGCATCTATAAAGTGGGAGCCCAAAGGAGTCCAAAAGTCCTTGAAATATTTTATCTATTTATTTAATCATCTTTTTCTGCCTCATTTCAAAACTGATTTGAAGGAGTACATACAAGCATATATGACTAAATTTTAAAATATCATAGAAGAATAAACAAGGGTAGAAATCTAAGGGAGACATACAAATTAATCTAACCCTCCATAAATCATTCCAAATCATATAGGGTAAAAACATTATAGACCAGAGGTCTCTTTGTCTATAATAGTCTTATAAAATAATTATTAAATTTAAATAACCAAGAAACAAAATGAAAACTCAGGAGCTTTCTACTAATCTTGCCAGTGAGTCAAATGTGATGTGTTTTATGGGAACTGCAGGACAAATAAGTGGGTACTGAAAATCAACAGCAAAGAAAGAACATGAATCATTACCTTACCTCCAAATCACTTTTTGAGGCAATCTTCCCAGAGCTCCTGCCAGTTTGTTAGCAATATCTTCTGACAAATACTTGACACCAGCTCCAAAAGACACCAGGACAAAGCCATGTTCATTAGCACCATTTACCCACCTTTGGAGATCCTGTAAATCAAAACAGGACAGTTAATTTTATGAAGACCAATATCATTCTCAGTCAGGGTCATCAATACCTCAGTTTAGAAAAGTGGAAGGTAAAATATATCTTGGAGAAAAGACAGCCTTTTTAACAAATGGTGCTAGGAAAACTCAATAGACATACATAGAAAAATGAATTTATATCCCTCTCTTTCACCCTGCACAAATTGAAATGGATCAAAGACTTAGGAAATAGAAAAGAAATTGCACAACTAGTAGAAGATAACATAAGGTCAACACTGCATCATATAGGTACTGGTACTGACTTCCTTAACAAGACCCCTAAAGTGTAAGAAATAAAACCAATGATCAATAATAGGATGCCATCAAACTAAAAAGCTTCTGCATAACAAAGGAAGTAATTAAGAGCATAAAGAGAGAGCCTACAGAATGGGAAAAAAATCTTAGCTAATTACTCCTCCAATAGGGGATTAATATCCAGAATATATAAAGAACTCAAAACATCTAACACCAAAATAAATAAATAAATAAATAAATAAATAAATAAATAAATAAATAAATAAATAAATAAATAACACAACCAATAACTGGGCAAAAAAAAAGCTAAACAGAAACCCTTCAAAAAAAAATAAAACACAAATGGTCAACAATTATGTGAAAAAAATATTCAACCTCTCTAGCAATCAGGGAAATGCAAATCAAAATACCCTAAGATTTCATCTCATTCCTGTCAGATGGCAATCAAGAAAAGGAACAATGGAAATACTAGTCAGTTTGTGGGGGAGAAAAGGAACACTCATACATTTTTGTTGGGACTGAAGACTAGTACAACCACTCTGAAAGGCGGTATGGAGATTCCTCACAAAACTAGGAATGGGGGCTGGGACTGGGGCTCAGTGGTAGAGAGCTTGCCTAGCATGTGTGAGGCACTAACTTCTATTCTCAGCACCCACATGGAAATAAATTCATAAAATAAAGGTCCATGAACAACTAAAAGTACATGTAAAATATATTAAAAAAATAACTAGGAATGGCACCACCATTATGACCCAGCTATCTCACTCCGTGGCATATATCCAAAAGACTTAAAATCAGCATTCTATAGGGACACAGCCACATTAATATTTGTAGCAGCACAGTTCACAATAGCTAAATTATGGAATCAACCTAGATACCTGTCAATAGATGAATGGATTGAGAAACTGTGATACACACACACACACACACACACACACACACAGACAAGGGAGTTTTACTCAGCCATAAGAAAGAATGAAATTATGGCATTTGCCAGTAAATAGATGGAAATGAAGAATGGATTTTATGCTAAGTGAAATTAGTCAAATTGAGAAATTAGAATGTTTTCTTTTACATGCAGCAGTTAGAGTGAAATAAGGAAAGGGGGAGGGAAAAATAAAGATTACATAAAGAACCAATCAAATACAAATTAATAGATGAGCAAAAGGAAGTCTAGTAGAGTAGAGGAAGGAGAATGGGAAGGGGAGGGAAGACAGGAGGGAAACAGGGGAGGGAAAGCAGGGGAATCATGAACTGAAATCAATTTCAATGCATGTGTGAATTGTCGGGATGCACCCAACTATTATGGATAAATTTCTAATAATAAAAAAAAAACTGAAGGTAATTTTCTGAAACAATTAAAAAGTAAAGAAGAGCATATGTTATTTTCCTCTGAGTAACTTCCTTCGATTAAAATATTTCATCTGACAACACTAACTGAAATAAGGCCTACTTTTTTTTAGGGGGTGGGGGGTAAGGATCAGTAAATAATAACAGTTGGAAGTGGTGGCATATGCCCCTAATCACAATGACTTGGGAGGATCACAGTTTCAAGTGAGCCTCAGTAATTTATTGAAACTCTGTCTCAAAATAAAAAGTAAAAAGGGAATGTGGGCTGGGGTTGTGGCTCAGTGGTAAAGTGCTTGTCTAGCATGCATGAGGCACCGCGTTCCATCCCCCGCACCAAATTAAAAAAAAAAAAACACTAAATAAACAAATTAAAGGTATTGTGTCCATCTACAACTAAAAATATTTTTTTAAAAAAAATGGATTGGGAATGTGACTTAGTGGTTAAAGGGCCCTTGAGTTCAATCCCAGTACCAAAAAACAAAACAAACAAATAAAACAACCTTCCAAACAACAACAAAAATCAGTAGCTAATGACTTAAGATCTCAGAAAATTGAAACTGATATTTGATACATAGTCAGAGACAAATTTTATATGAGGTTATAAAAAAAGACTTGGATTGAACATGACAAATCAATCATATTGGCAAAAAAATTAATGCAGCTTTGACATATGCTTTATTTATATTGAAAAAGAAAGCATTTTATTTTATGGGATACCGCTTGCTATATTTCATTCCAGAGGCGCCAGCTTATTTTTAAAGACAAGTCATCCTTTTGAATAAATTTTGCCTAAGACATCAAGTTTCAGTTCCCCGTATAAAAACCAACAGTGCTACAGCACTTTGAAGAATACACAATTCCTCTATAAAGACAACACATCTGCTGTCCACTGATACCACGTAGGCCACACATAGTCAGGAAAACAGAGGCCTGACCCATCTGTGCTCATGTGTGCAGTGAGCTGTCAGTTATCTCTCATGCAGCCTATAGTTGTCCTGCTCTGGGTCACGAGTCATTGCACTGGCCCTGTCACTCAGAGTTTACATCTCATATCATTTTCCAGCATAGCTAAACATGTAGCTGAGGAGTACTACTCAATAAGGAGTATTATCGCAAAGTAAAATGGAAAGTTAGGCCTAAGTTTTCTTTTTTTTTTTTTTTCCCCTTTTCCTCTGATCACTTAATGGTATTTGCTTTACCTGGCTCTACTACACCCATTCTAAGTAGGAGAAGGGCGGGACCACCTTCTAAGCTCCAGTGGATTAGAGAATACTGTCACTACTGGACTGAAAGTGAAGATGGAAAGGAGGAATAATATCCTAGCTACTGAGAAAGTAAAACAGACTACACTTATTTGGTAGGAAACTCTACTCATTTATAAATACATAAAAGAAATAGAGGCTTATCAACTTTAGATTAGAGATATTAACTGCTGCCTCTACCAAACATATCACATGTACTGAGAATTTAATGGTGTTATCTGTGGATTCAAAGTATAGTCCTAAGCCAGATGTACTTAAAACACATATAAATGCTTCATGAAAGAACGATTTGAACACAAATAGTCCTTTATTCCCATGGTTTGTCTTCAAATAATTTATCACCTATGATCTAGTTGTCTAAAGAAGAAACTTTTAGGGTCAATGTTATTTACAAAAAGTTTACATTCAAATTTAGTAAGGCTTATGATAATGCTATTTAAATTTTGCTTTACAAAGACTTAAAAAGTCTCTTGAGTTTCAACAAATTCCCCATAAAAGACTTCTTCATTTTTTTTGCTCTTTGTTTTGCATGATATAAGACAAAATCCAAGTGCTTATGTTTCCTCTCATAATCATTAGCCATTACATGAAAATATCTAAGTATTTGGCTTTCATTGCTATGTAAAGGAACAGAAAAAAAATGTATTCATCATGGTTTTCTTCAGAAACATACTCAGTATTTTTAGAAGATGCTAACCTACTTATTTCCTGGGCTGGAGGGAGAAGAGATGAAGGGAAAGGGCAGAATAGGGACTAGGAGTTAGTCCTACTCCTAGTTAGTCTGGCTTACACCTGTCTACTCCTGGACACACACCCCTTTCCCCCCATAATCTCATTTCCAAGCTAAACACATAAAATCTTAACGTGACAAATGTTTTATGGGAACATTGAAGGGGGTGAGTTTTGGATGTGACTGACAAGGGTGACATTAGGAGGCATTAACAGCTGAGGCTGAGGGGGTCTTAAATTTCCAGAACTCATGGCAAAGGCTTTGGAATTGAAACTTCATGAAAAGTATGTCCTTATCTCTGATGAGCTGGGAAACCCTAGGTGCCTTTTCTACTATGTATATGTATACAGGATTTTCTGAACTTCAAGACCCCATCAAAATATGTGCCAAAATGTATTCAATATAAACAAAATAATCTCAGAAATTTAACACTGTTAAATAATAAAGCACTTTAGAATCCTCCTGTCCCCACCCCACAGAAAGTGTCATATTACAAAAACTGGACTAAATCTTCATCCATTTACGATATCAACGAATCTGTAAATACTCAAGAAGAAATCTGAAATATAAAAAAGTACATGAAAAAAAATGAACACTTTATTAAAAGAAGGCCGGAATAAATGGGAGGTCACACTCCTGAATAGGAAGTATTAATATTGCGAAGATGCTAATATTTTATAAAATTTTTGTAAAATTAAGTTTAATACAGTCTCAGCATACACTGCACAATGATGAGTAAAAAAATTCATTTAGAAAAGATAACATACAAGAAAGGCCAAGAAATTTTTTGAATGGCCTCTGGGTTTGCCGTCTAATTTAGCATGTCCCATGATTATTACCTTTTAAATGGCCAATATATTTTTTTTAGTGATTATTTTTTAATACTGGGGATTGAAGCCAGGGGCACTCTACCACTAAGCTACACTTGCACCCAGCCCTTTTTATTTTTTGTTTCCAGATAGAGTCTCACCAAATTGCTGAAGTTAGCCTTGAATTTGAGATCTTCCTGCCTCCACTTCCAGAGTCCCTAGGCAGGTGTGCACCATCATTCTCAGCTCTTTCAGTAATGTAACTGTTTCATTTCTTTAGTGTTTTAACCTTTCATGCATCTTGAATTTATTTTAAAGAAAACAAATGAGGCTGAGATCCATCTGTTTTCAGCCACTGTTAGCCAGTCCTCTCAGCACCGTTTTGGAATATCTCATCCTATCCTCAGCAATGGGAAATGCCACCTTCTCATTGATTTCTGAGCTCTCTTCTGTTCCACTGATTTATACATCCCTATATTAAATGGTCCAAGTTTTATCTGCTGTTATTTTATAATACATTTTAATATTTGCAGTGTTAGATTTCTCTAGCAGGTATTT